AGTGCTGACATTTTGTTTGTGTTGCTGCAGGAGGTCACATCGTGCACCAGCACTCAGCTGTGAGTTTGAGTGAGAACAAAAGGATGGCTGTGACCCCCGGGAGCTGCGAGTGAGTTGGGACACTGCCACGGGTGTGGTGCCAGGATTGTCGCTCTGGGACTGTGGCACTTGAACCTGACGATTTCCCCCAGACCCTTTAGAAGAGGACTTTACAAGGGAAATGGCTCCTTGCAACTCTTGTCATTGTGGCAATGAGAGGAGGATTCCCAGTGGTGACAGTGGCTAAAAAGTACCTGAAGAAAAATGGAAAACTTCCCAGTAAAGGCACTGATGATTCCTGCTTATCTGGAAACTGATTTTCTCCTGGTACATCCAGGGGAAGAGCAATGGTCTTGATGTTGCTCCTGCTGCACCTGAGGTCTCACCCCAGCCCAGCCAAAGATATCTTGTCTCCCTCTCTGCAGACAACAGGCTCTTCTGGGTGGGTGACCTGTCAGAGCAGCTCATTCTGCAAGCCATCAGCAGCGGGCTGGAGACCTTATCTTTGTGTCTCTGCTTTACTGCTGTGATTGAAAGTGACAGCAACTCTCCTTCCCTCTGCTTATTGAATTAGTAGACCTCAGGGCTGGGGGAGCTGGGACCAGGAGCAGCAGGAAGAAGGCCAGATGGAGCAGGAGGAACAAAGGCACAGGCCATAGATACCAAACCTGGGGAGCTTGGAAGTGCTGGTGCTGGCAGCAGCACTTCAGAGAGGACAGATGCAAGAAAAGGAGGAAGCACCCACCATGTTTTAGGCTTTGTGCCTGGAGACACACAAGCTAACAAAACACAACACACCCATCTCCTTCCAGGTTTTTCCTGGGTTGAACTGGTATCTTTCTTCCTATACAAGGAATGTTTTTTGTTCAGCTCTGGTTGCTTTGCTGGATCTGTAGTGCATTAAACAGCCCATCTTCTGGTTTGTATTTTTTCCAGTTATCGTGTTTCATGCATTCTGGCTTCTTTCAGCCAGCTCTCTATCCCCCCTGAGCAGAGACTAAGCAGGATCCAGTCCTTGAGCTTGCTGCCTTCACATGCACAAAAGGGATATGGACTCACATCCCACATTTCTCTGCTGAGTTGTGGGGATATTTACAGCAGGGACTCACACCTTGCTCTGCTTTCAGTCTATCACGTAGATCACGTTACCACAGCTGGGCATTCAAGGCTCAGGGATGGTACATGCTGCCACTGGCACTTTACATCACCTCTCTACAAGCTGGATCCTGAACTCAGTCAAGGTTTGTACTTATTTTTCACATGATTCAGATTTTGATTATGGCACATTAGAGCAGCACGTGTAAGAGTGGGGGGTGGCTTGTTGGTGCTTTTTAAAGATCCGCCCCGACAGCCTCCTTCCCTGGAACACCAGGCTTTGCAGTGTCCCTGCGCCCAGCCCGAATCCTCCTGAAGTCTTCCCTCTCCAGCTTTCCAAGAGATGCTCTGCTGCTCTTTTCCTGCCCACTTTGAGGAGCAAGCGGTGTCTGTGGGTGGGCTGGGCCTGGCGGGACTCTCCCGACCGGCAGTGATTATCCAGCAGCACCTCGGGGGGAGGCAGGGAAGCCCCTGGCTAATCCGTGCCGGGCTGGATGCGTGCCTGGATCATTTCAGCGCGGCTCCGAGCGCCCCGACGGTGCGCACGCTCCGCAGCCCGGCTCATGGCACAGGCATCTGTCACCGAAACCTGTCTGCATGAAAGGCTGTCTGCACAACCCGGGGAAAAAGAAAGGCATGACAGCACAATTAGTGAGAGCAAATGAAAGGCTGTTTGAAGAGGAGGAGGGAGGAAAGGGGAGAGCTGCATAAATCCCTGGTGGGGTTTTGGGCTTGACATCAAAACCCCTTAACAGTGTATTACTTCAGCCCCCAATGTGGACAGATGTTGAGCTGTGGCTCAAAGGAAGTCAGAAATCTTTCCTTAGAAAAAAATTGGCTAGGAAACTAAAGAAAATATTGTGAAAGAAAAGGAAATAAAAGCCCACTAAAGAAGATTTATCACTGCCTCAGGCATTTCTGTATCCTCTATTCTTATGAGGTCTCAGCCTCAGGGGAGAGAAGAAGAGAAACAGCCTGTTGCTATGTTAATGGGTCAGAATTTGGAGTAGGGACACATTTGTCCAGTTGGGCGATGATGGAGGGAGCCAACTCACCCAGCCGAGCACTCCTCCCATCCATGCTGACCCCAGCCAGCCTTCAGGGGCCTCTGGCCCAGCCTGTGGCATTCCCCAGCACACCCAACCCAGCTGCCTTTTTTGCCCACTCATTCCCATTTGTAAGGGTTTTATGGAGCCCATTTCAATGGCAAAATGTGTGCATTCCTAAAAGAGCTTAGTATCATCCACAAACATGGAGATTTTGCTGTCCATTCCCTTGCTGACGCTGAAGGTGCTGAATAAAACCAGACCCAACAGAGATTCCTGGGCAATCTCGCTGCTGAATCTCATTTATCTTCAAAAACTGCCTGTTAAACCCTGCACTTTACTACCAACAAGACAGGAATATCCTTAAAGGGGTTTCAATACATAAAAGAAATATTGCTTCAATCCCATGGCAATGTAAATGTTTTTTAAAATAATTTTGACAAAATCTTTCATCTGTTCTGTCTGTTGGGCCCTCCCTATCCATATGAATACTTGATATATTCCTAAAGCCCCAGTATGCTGGAAAGGGAAGCTTTCCCTCTCTGACATCCATGTCTGCTGGCTCTTTCCCAGCTGCACACGTGCTTGCTGCTGGTGCAGACGCCACCACCCCAGCAGGGACAGAGGTGACACTCACCCCTGCAGCTCTCAGGGTCCCCTTCCATTGCTGGGTTTGTAGCTGGGAGCTGCACTCAACCTGCCACCCCTCTGGTACAGCAGCCATTTGGAAAGTCACATCCAGTTCCTCTAATTTACTGGGTGTGAGGTAATACCAGCAGCAGTGGAGACCAATGCTCAGTTGTGCCCAAGCTGTCTCATCATATCTTATCCTCCCTGGCACCCTGTTGCATCTTTGTATTGAGCAATGGCTCCCCAGCCAGTTTCTTCCTTTTGATATAGTTAAATAAATATTTTTAGAAGATACTTGCAAGATCTTCATGCTCTTTTTTAGCTCTCTTTTCTGTCTATTCTTTGCTTGCCATGTTTTATGGCTTTTCCTTTTCTCCTCATGTGGGAAACTTTTTCACTTACTGACCTTCTCCCTGTGATACCTCCTTAACCTTAGCAGCGAGTCAGGCAGGGTGTTTTTTAGGACCTCTTAGTTATTTTTGAGTTGTGGCACATGTTTTGCTTAGGCTTTAACAGAGCATTTTTTAATCACCTCCAGACTGCTTGCAGGCTCCTTGCTTTCTGCCTGCTCCTTTTTGGTTTGTTGTTATTGACTAATCACCTTATTTTTTCATAGTTCCCTTTCTTGAAATTGTAGAGCCCCAGGCTGGATTTATTTGGTGTGTACTCTCCCACTACAGCATTAAAGGTTGTTTTGTGGTCACTAGCAGAGACCAGCTCTCCCACAAACACCTTGTGAAGCAGGTCCTGTGCACCGCTCCCCACCAAACCCAGAGCAGCAGCCCTCCTCGCACTTCCAGCGCTGCTTGGTCCTGGAGACCCTTTATTGTACCCAAACCCACTTTTTATTCCTTCCTGATGGATCACCCAGCCGACTAACTTCTCTAATCTCATTTTATATTTGCTTTTCATTACCTTTACCCTTATCAGGGCTCACTAACACAGTACTGGCTCTACATTATTTTTTTACTGGAATCTGTGATTTCCTATCTCAAGAAATCTATACTGGTTCTGGGATTGTTGGTCAGGATTGGAAAGCCTGGAATTAACTTACTTTTTAAGCTTCTGGTATAGTGACATATAATGTTCCTGTGAGTCTGTTGGTCCAATGCATGGCCAAATACACTTTATTTACTGCAGCTGCTTCCTTTATTTCCCTACTGCTCTCCCCCTGGATACAGGCCACCTCCTCCTCACCAGGATGCCAGTCTGAGTCTCTACACCCACTGACCTTCCTTCAGCTTTTCATTTGAACACTCCTTTACAGCTTTTCCACCTTGCAGTGCCACCTGCCCAGCTCTGCTGCCATGGAGGAGCCAGGCCCTGTGACACCAGCTGGCAGCTCCAGAGCTGTTTCTCTTCCCGGGAACATGCCCCTCTCATGGAAAGGGAAGAGCTGGGACCTTGCCCTGCAGCCCCAGGGCTCTCCCACACCTCCTCTGTCTCTGATGGCCCTGCAGGCTGTGCAAGCACAGACACCCAAACCCTGTGCAAGGTGTGACAAGCTGGACACCTCTTGCAGATTCCTCCTCCTGGGAGGCCGAAGCTGCTGGGTTTGGAAAGTGCACTGTGTTTTTTTTTATAAAGTGGAATTGGCAGTCCTTCACCCTGGGCTCATTGACCCCTTTTACCATGAGCTGTCACATCTTTCTGTACTGTCACCCCAGCCCCTGGCACTGTCCCTAGCCCTGTCTGCTGGTCCCCCAGCTAATTTGGGTGTTCTCCCAGCCCCGCTCATTGCTCCTGACCCAGATCCCTGTGCCCAGCACAGCCCAGCAGTCTCTCATCCCCACGCGGGGTACCCCGAATTCCCTTTGGCATATCCTTCCTGCCCAGCCCCTTCAGGCCCCGGGCACAGTGTGAGGAGGCAGGGAAGGGGCTCCGAAGGGTGCGGGGGGCTCGGATTTTGGGGATTGCGGGGGTCTGACCGCAGGGCCAAGAACGGGCGGTGCCGGCCGCCCACTGGCGGCAGGTCCGGTGCCGTGCATCCTCCCCGGCCCCATCCCGCTGTTCCCGAGACCTGGAACATGGCACATCTTGCTCACAAACGAGCCTCAGGGATGGAGAAATTGTCAGCAAAAACGGTGCTTTAATTCCTGCGTATAAAACCATTAATCTCTTAAATGCTAGGAGACACAAATGATGAAAAATTAAAAGCTATCAAAGGAAGGATGTATTCTCTGCCTGGGAACCGTGATTCTCCAAGGACCCAAAGGACACGCTGGTGGCATGTTCCCAGATCTAAGGCACTGCAGGGAGAACTGTCACTGACCAGAGGTCACCACTTAAAGGCCCTAAAGAAGAAGTGTCCTGATGGCCCAGGCTGCTCCTCTGCTGGTGAAACTCCTCACACACGATGCTGTGGGCAGGTCGCTGGTTTCACGTGCTGCTGGCGTGCTCCACTCTCTGGTACTGTGCGTGTGTGCAGCTCGCTCCTCTTCCTCGTCTCTGCTTGAACACATTTCCTTCCCACACCCTGCAGGGCAGTGATGAAGGTCAGGAGGGCAGTGATGAAGGTCAGGAGGGCAGTGATGAAGGTCAGGAGCGGCAGCTGCAGCACCAGGGAGTCAGGCAGGGGGTCACAGCAGTCACCCCTCCTGCCCTCCAAGGGGTGTGTGCTCCCTCCCCTTGGCATCAGCCTGAGGCAGCACAATCATTCCTGCTCCAGCAGTGCAGGCCCTGCCATCTCCATCACACCCAGGACAGCAAAACTACATTTTGATCTTCCCTAGCCCATTACAAGCTTTGTGTGAAAATTACCAGGTGGGAGCTCATGCTCCAGGAGATGTCTCTGCCTCGGAGGAGAAGGATCAGCCTGGGAATATTCTAAGGTGAAAAGACAGGACTATGATCCCCTCCTGCCTCCTCCCAGTCCTGACCTTCCTGTGCCATGTTGTGGTCCTGGTCTCCTGTCTTTGACCACAAGCCCTAGTTTTTAGCAAATTTTCTGGACTGTGACTGCTGCCCTCCAGCAGCACAGCAGTGACCTGCTGATGAAGGTGCTGCAGCTCTCCCACTCTGTCCCATAGCTCTGCCACAAACTTGACATTTTCTATTTTTGCAATAGCATTGACCAGACTTCACATCAGCCCAAACTTCACATCAGCCCAGTGCTACAGACCTGGGGGGCTGGCAGTGGGAAGCCCCCAGCGCTCCTGCTGGGACAACAGCACACGTACCGTTTCCTGGAGAACTGCTGGTCTATCTCCTCCAGGGATTGTCCTTTTGTTTCCGGCACAAAAAGGTAAATGAATACAACAGCCATCACTCCCACCAGCCCATAGAGAAGAAACATCCAAGAGAACCCAATGGCATCTGCAGAGATTTAAATGTGTGAATGTAAGGGATGGATGTGAAGCACCCCCTGTGGGGGTACAAAGGAAACTGGTTGCTCTGAGGTGATCATTGGTGCCTGACAGGGGCACCTTCCAGAGGGCTGGGAAACTTCTTATCTGCAAGGCCTGGACTAGGAATTGGCAAAGAGAAAGGCTGCTGCATGCCAGGCTTTGCCAGCTCCGGGGGAAGAAGGCAGCTGCCGTGCAGGGCCAGCAGTGCCTGCTGAGAAGGCGGTGAAGCTGCCGGGATGGAAGCTGCAGACTCTGTTTCCCGATACTGTGGTGCTACAGTGCAGCCCAGTGGGCAATGGGTGATTTTTATAAACGAGTGACAGAGAGGCTCTGACCGGAGCTGCTGGTGCCTGGCTCTCTTGCTCTCAGGGGCAACGGGGTCACATCTATTCCAGCCTCAATAAGTGGCATTCTGGGTTCAGAATGCCACTTAATCTCCAAATGGCTCGTGGTGGCCACCTTCCCTAACCAGCTGTGGGAGGTGGAGGGAGGGGAAGGGGCTACTTACCAATAAGGTCCAGGAAGGAGAGGCTGATCAGTAAATTAGCAGCCCAGTTAAAGCTGTTACAGAAAGCAAAGGCTCTTCCTCTTATCCCAGCAGGGTAAATCTCACTCAGGACCAGCCAGGTCACTGCACAGATTAGAGAGATCACAAAGACAGTGTGGAGTTAAGCAATTTGTTTGGGAAATGAGCAAGGGAGATTTCAGCAGGGGGTTTAAACTCTGGCGTCACCCAGCACCTGCTGCTGGTGGTGTCAAACATTCATCGATCTCAGAGACAGATCACAGCAGAACACTTCAAACCTCCTGTGTTCAATGCTTCATGGAGGAATGAAATAGCAATAAACAGGCCCAGGGAGGAAAGAAGAAAGCAGGGTAGCTGATCATTCCATTCACAGGATATGAAGAGATCTGACAGGCCTGCTGTCGGGTCATGCTCTTTGTAAAGAAATGAGAAAAGGGTGGAATTAGGGAGACAACATTGCATTTGGGATAAAATCAGAGTTAAAGCAATATATATCTTTAAGTCTCTCTTATCCTGGGGTTATTTTGTTTGAAATAAATTGCAGGGTGGCTGTCAAACCCATGCGACTTGCCCACTTTTCTTGCCAACATTCTTTTCTTGAGTTAAACGCTGTTTTTTGCCATCAAGGCATTTAAATGCCAGAACACTGTAGAACTCATATGGAAACAAGAACTAATCTTTAATCTCATCTGATGAAAAATAAATAATAATAAATAGAATAAAAAATACCCCAATTGATATTGATATTGAGAAACTTCAAAAGAGGTTCAACCTGCAGTTCTTCACTGACTTTGATAATCCCACAGCAGAAGCCCCTCAGTCCCTTTGTCCTCAGCCCTGTATTTTCCTCCTCACCCCAGTGAAAGGAAGATTTTGTAGGGCTTGTAGGATGCTCTGATTTTCCACCTAACTTCAGAGAAAAAAAAAGCTTTACAAGAGTAGTGAATAGCATGGAAGAGAAAGTTACTCTAGTGCTGTAGCTGACAGAGCTGCAGTGCTAGAAAATGATTCAGGGGGCAGGAGGGGACATATTTCCAGTTCCCAGACACTCAGCTGCTCAGCACAGCAGATACATAAGGAAAGGTTCAAGCAGACAGCTTGCAGATCAGCCCTAGTTTTATTCTCTGGATTAGTACAAGGATAAATACCGCACTTACTTGGCCCAAATCCAATTGAGAAGGCACTCACAAAAGCCATCATGCTCAGCAGTGTAATCCAATTTAAGACCGTATGTTGTGCCCAGGGAGCAGGACCGAGAGGAGGGCCTGTGCTTTCCACCATTCCTTTCTTGGACTGACCCACCAAGTCCCTTTTCTGAGCGAGGAAAGAATTAGGAACAACCTCTTTGCTTTGAATGCTGGCAAAAACGTTTGTAAGGCTCCTTGTGGCAGCAAAACCAGGGCCTGCCTGACTTTTGACAGCACCTGACACTGGTGGGACGGGTGACACCACAGACTGGGGGAGCACAGGTGCCAGGGGGTGCTGGCTGAGGCTCTGAGATGCATTGGGGCCCGCGGCAGCTTTGCAGTCCCTGGCCATGGCCAGCGGAGCCATGCGGCTGGTGAGGCCAATGGTGGTGACGGAGAAGGCCATCACCACACAGCCAGCCATGAGCAGCACTCTCCTGCCTGCCTTGTCTGCCAAGGCCATGGCCACCAGCGTGGCCACCACCTTTATTGCTCCCAGCCCGACTGAGGCCAGGATCGCTGAGGAGTTGCTCTGGAACCCCACCGAGTGGAAGATTTTGGAGGCATAGCCCAGCACATTGGGCTGTCCAGTGAACTGCTGGAAGAGCACCAGTCCCAGGCCCACCAGAGTCCGCCTTCTCATGTTGTCTCTGGTCCTGAAAAGATCAAGAAATGAGTAATGCCTCTCCTGACAGGGCTCCCGCTTGGCTGCTGCTCTGTCCTCGGTGTCCTGCAATGGGATGAGGCCCTTCTGGCAGTCTGAGTCCCATGAGCTTAATTTAACAGGGTTCACTGGGAGAAAGAGGATGCTGAGGAACTGCATGGCCGTCGGGGCAATGGCCAGTCCAAACATGTACCTCCACCCCTCATCCACATCCGCAAAGATGTAATTCAGTGCGTAGGACAGCAGGATGCCCACGGTGATTCCCGCCTCGTAGAGAGACACCAGCAGGCCTCGCCGGTGAGCAGCCACCATCTCTGAGACGTAGATGCAGCAGGCCATGGATGAGACAGAGATGGCAAAGCCCACGGTCATGCGCCCAATGACCAGCACGGTGAATGACCTCGCCAGAGTGAGGATGAGGCTGCCCACCAAGAGGACCAAGTTGCTGACCAGGATTGCTCTCCTCCGGCCGTGGCGGTCGATGAGGATCCCCCCAGCCAGGGAGGCGAGGAGCGCTCCGATAAGGACGGCGCTCACCAGAACTTCTTGCTTGAAGCAGCTGAGCTGGAAATCTGCCTGCAGCTGCAGCAGTGCTCCAGAGATTATCCCCAACTCATATCCAAATATCAGCCCGCCCAGGAGAGACACTGTTGCAGACAAGAGGAGGACCAGCAGTGCACGACCTGGAAGACAAGCAAGCAGAGCTAGGTTCACTTTTCTGATGCTGTGAGACAAGCTATCAGCATGCACAGGCTGGAAAAAGCTCTCCCAGGACACCAAAGCTACACTTTGTAGCTTTCCATCTACAAATTCATGGTGTGGAATTCGCCCATAGGTCACTAGGTCACAAGTATAGAGGCACTTGCAGACAGTCACACAACCACCAGACTTCCACTAACTACAGGGGTACTCATTTGGGGTGCAGAACTTTGAAATCAGGACTTTTTAACGGAGTTAAGGCTTGTTTTTAAGTGCAGGACAGTGATTTGTAGTTCCTGGAGTTGTACAGTGGGATCCTCTGTGGTATCTCTTGATTGTAATTACAAAATTTGTTCTGAGCAGGAAATGCAGCTTCTGCTTTCTGGTTCTGAACTGTTCTGCATTATCATTTTCACATTTCAGTGCATGCTCTCCCTGCAGGTTTTCCATTCTCACTTCCTATCTTGCCATTAAAAGCCCTCCTAACAAAAGTTTATTTTTCCTTCATTTTCTCCTTTAGTTAATCTTGTACTCTCAGCATGACTTTGTGGGCTGGCCCTGATTTCTTCACCTCTCCTTCTGCAGCCCAGGATCTCCAAGTCAATTGCAGCCTCCTCAGGTTGGTCCAGGACCACAGGACAAACTTCATTGTGAGCTGAAACTGTTGTAACTCTCAAATACAAGAAATGACTCTTTGACCTTGCCCTTCCCACAGCGCTGAGTGTGCCAGCTTCCTAAGGACGTGAGCTTAGCTAAAATAAGACAAAAACAGCACCAAAAGCAACTCAAACCAACTTGCCCCAAAGAACCCCACAAAACCAAGATGCTGGCTGCACAAGCTTCTCACCACGGGGAGGGGACGAAAGGGTGACCACGTGTGAGCCATGAGCAGGGTTACACCAACAGGGATTGCACTGGGGCAAGAGCCAGCACTGATGTGGGGACCTCTGGGAACAGAAGGGACAGTGACCTCCCCTCCAGTTACACTTTTGAAGCATAGGTAAAGTGCACTAGTTTTGGGGTTTGTGCTGTTCTGCAGCATGTAATACTACCTGCATTCTTCTGTTTAATTAGAAATACTCACAAGTTTGGTAGACTGTACATGGAAAAAATGTGGGCACAACCACCAGACTGGAAACTTTTCTCACCCTGCTGAAGGACTTTTTTCCTGTCACAAGCTGTGTTGAATGGCAAGTGTCTCTGCTTGGCCTTTAATTACAGTTATCAATAAAAGGAATTTCTCAGTGATGGCTGTTAGTAAATACAATTGTTTTTATTTATTCTGCAACCTTCTGTGTTTCATTTGTTACTTATGCCATCCCAGCTATCCCAGTCCCTCGCATCATGCTCTGTATGACCATCTGTGCTGCTTTTAACACTCCTTGTACATGTTATGCAGATAATAAAAAAAAAATCTGCTGTGAACATAAGGCATAAGGCCATCCCATTAGCTTCAAACCACAAATTCTCTTAGACACAGACAACCCCACTATAAATACCATGGCTGATTTCGGCAGGTTTTGCTGCATTTCTTGTTACCCTAATAAGCAGTCATGGCTTATGAACTTTGATTGAAATCCAATTTGTGTATCGTCTATACGGATGTATCTGGGGAATTTGAGAACTCTTCAGATCTCCACATGAGGACGGAAGGTTTGGTGGAGCAAGGAGCTGTGCCAGGCGATTCCCTGCCTACAGCAAACCGGGGGCCGAGCTCCAGGACAGGGCAGCGACCCCGGACTCTGCTCACACCAACGCCGAGGCCGACGGGCACCGCTCCGCTCCTCCAGCGATTCCCACTCCAGAGCAAACCCAGCTCCCTCCACTCCCCCCGAACCCCCGTTCCCCTCCCCGGGGACAGCCCCGGCCCCGAGCCGCAGGAAATTCCTTGGCTCTTATGTTCGCTGTACGCGCTGCTGGGACCGCTAAAAAAGGAACAGAAAGAAAGGAAGGGGCGGGGGATGCACCCCCAGCCTTTAGGAAAAGTTCCAATCTTTCTTTTTTTTTCTTTTTTTTTTTCTTTTGGAAACTTCTCCCCGGGGCAGGACGTGCCCGTTCCACCCGGCTGCCCCGCGGGCAGGGCGCTCGCAGCCCCCCGCTCCCCCCGGGCACTCACTCACCCATGGCGGGGCTGAGCCCGGCGGGCGCGGAGCGGAGCGCGGCGGGCGGAGCGGGGCGGAGCGGGGCCGCGCCACGTCGCTGCTGCCCTGCCCCCGGCCGGGTAGCCTGGGGCTTGTAGTCGCCCTGCCCGCCCCTCTCGGGGGCGGGGGTCCCGGGCGAGGGGAGCTGCAGCGCCCCGGGAGCGATGCGGAGCCGGATCCCGGGGGATGGGTGAGCCCACGCGTGAGAACCGGGAGCCGGCGGCTGCGGGGTGGCCGGGGACACGATACGGAGCTACGAGTTGGTCCAGAAACCAGGATGCGGGTCTGGTGGCTGGAATGTCAGCTCTGTCCGCAGTCTGTGTCACTTGAGGAACAGAAATCTCACTGCCTGCAGAGCTGCTCTTGTGCAGAGCTTCACCTCTCTAGACGAGAAAGCCTCCAGAAAGTCCACAAGAGCTTGACAGTTTGTTAATGTTTTTAGGTAGCTCGGCTGGATAGCCACAGAAACCTGCTAAGAAAGGGGTGGCCACTTGAAAGCTGAAAACAAAGAGAGCAGCGGGGGAGGTTTAGGTTGTATATCAGGAAAAGGGTTTTCACACAGAGTAGTGGGCACTGAACAAGCTCCCCAGGGCAGTGATCACAGCACTGTTCAAAAAGTGTTTGGACAATGCTCTCAGGCAGCCGATGGGATTGTTGGGGAGTCCTGTGCAGGGCCAGCAGTTGGACTCAGTTATCCTAGTGGCCCCTTTCCATTTCAGCATATTGTTTGAGTCTATGGTTCTGTGATTCTGTGTCTGAGTTTGCCCTTTTTCATGGCTGTGGGACAGAAAGAATCAGTCTCTCAAGCTTGTCTCCTTCCTCTGACACAGTGTTCCATCAGACAAAATACTCAGTATTCAGCTTCCTTTGCAATTAACTTTTTTTTTTTTTTTTTCCTGCTGAGTGGAGCAGGAACCTTCCTGCTGTCCTGCATAAAAGACACCGGGACTTGCACTTGGATACAAAATTATTTTCTGAGGCTAATTTCACATGTCCCAAAGTCTAGTTTGTTAGACTAAGATTTTTCAAAGCATGATACACCTCAAAGTGCTTCCAAATGTCTTTAACACAATGTGCAGGCATTGGCCCTTGGTGCTGTTTGTGTGAATGGCAGCTGCTGGGCAGGTTGAGCTGTGCTGAAGTACACGAGATGTTCAGGAGTTTGCTGTGATGGAGCAAAGGGAGCTGCGAGGAAGAGAGGTGGTGTCACAGGTGGGAAGACATGCACAGCCTGCCCAGAGCCTTGCAGCAGACACTGCCACTGAAGGGTAAGTGCAGATGATCACAAACCTGCTTTGTGAGCTGGCATGTGACTGCAGGTAATATTTCATTAAAAATCTATATTGAATTTTAATATTTAGTATGTCATAACTACACAAGGTCCAGAACAGCACTCTGTGGAGCCTCTGCTGGTAAAGCTTCTTGCCCCAGTAGAGAATTGAGCTGGGGAAGGTCTGCATCAGTGACCATTGTGCCTCTGACACAGGCAAAAAATAACAGGTTGGGTGAAGAGTAAAGAACATATAAGTATGTGTTTTTTTTTTAAAGAGCCTTTTCAGTCATCCCCCTTGTTAACTTACTAGGAAATTTAAAAGAAGTGTTTAAAAATGGTTATTTTTCCAAGTATGGGGGTACAGTTCATGTCTCTGCTCTGTGGAGCAATGGTACCAACTCATTCCAACTCATAGTTTTGGGATGCTCGAGATGGGCCATATTGGATCATGTATATCCTTTCAGCTTTAGTCTGTTGGATCTGGCTGCAACAGGAGCAGCAGTTGAGGAAATGTTTTGGTTTTGTTTCTTCTCAAACTCATAGAGAATACGAAAAGTGTGTCAAATCATGTACCTGGTTTACAGAGTAAATAAAAGCTTCCCATTCATATGCTGTAATTTCAGTGGGAATACAGGATGTGAAAACACCTTTTCTAAAACCTTGTATCTGATACAGCCTGACAGCTGCAATGGGGATCACAAACTTGGTGAAGAATGGCTTCAAACACCAGCCAACAGAAACCCATGGTGTTCATGGGAAGAGCTTTTCAATAGCATTTGCATTTCATATCAGATCAGTTTAAAGAGCTCTGAAATCACAACCAGCTCTTGTCATATGCAGTGGGAGAAATTACTTCAATTTTCTCTCTTCCCCAACACCCACACGAGACCAGTTCATGGCAGACAGCAAAGACCACATCTCTGTGTCTAGGCTAATGTTCCACATTTGGGGAGCACAGGGGGATGCAGGGGACACAGTGTCATCTTGGCCATGACCTCTGGCCCCCAGAGCTCAAGCCAAGGCATTTTGGCTGAGCTGTGTTAGGAAGTGGAGATGTCTCCCATGCATTTTACCCCACCACACCAGGCAGAGAGCCAGAGGGAACCTAGAGTCCTCATCAGCCTCAGGGCAAACTCACTCTTGGCTACATGAGCTCCAATTTGCCTGAACAATTCCTTCCTTCTGAAATTATTTCAGTGTGAGAAGGAAGAAATTATATTTTTCTCTACGGTCACTCAGCATTTATTTTTCTGCCATCTGAACATTTTCTGGAGGCTTCTTGGTCTCTGGCAGGGCAAGAAATATTATTAGCACTGACAATAAGAAGGTGAGGTCTTGGGGAGGACAGGAAGAGCTTTATGGTGTGTTTACCAAAGGCGGCCAAAAAGATGATGTCAGTCTGTACAGAAATGCAGCTGTTACATCGACACTGGAGGCTGTGGGTTATTGTCCTCTGGAAAAAAGGGTGAAAACCTGCTGTGATGTACAGCAGGGATAATTTGGGGCGGGGGGGTGGGGGGGAAAATCTTTCTTTGGGGTCCTTAAAGTACAGGTTTCCTATCACAGCTTTTATAGGCAGGGGTTATGCTGAAAGCAGCACCTTTGTCCCTAAGCTTCACATGAGAAGGTCTGGGGGGTTTGGATGCACCAGTGCTTCATGCCTGCAGGCACGTTCTTGACCTTGCTCCCTCCTGGGATGCCTTCCTCCTCCTCCTCTCCAGTCTGTGTGTCTTGGCAGTGCCATTTCCCCATCCGATCCTTATCTCTCTCCTGGCTGCCGGGCTTGCGGGGCGCGTTCCTGCCCGGCTGCCAAACAGCACATCCCCAGGGCTGAGCCGCAGGAATGTGCTCCTGGAGAGCTCCGCCCTGGGAATGGCAGCCTGTGTTTGGTAACACAACCCGCCTGTGATTACTGGAAATGTTACCCTCTACCTCTGAGCTGGAGCAGCTGAAAGAGGCTTTAAAATCACAAATTGAAATACAAATACAAGAGCAGAAAGAAGTCCATCCTGGAAAAAGGAAGGCATGGTGTTCAGGAATCCTCATCACACCCTCAAGTGTATTTTCTTCTATTTTGATTGACCCTTAGGAAGGGACTTGGGGGACCAAAGTGACCAAACTCAATTCAGTTATTGATGAAGTGATGGTCCCTGAGCAGGCAGAAGTGTCACAGCTGGCAGGGATGGAGCCAGCTCACCAGGAACCTGCATTTATTGCACAGTCATTCATATCCCAGAGAGATTTCTCCTCCTCATGCCAGGCTACAATTGTCCTTAAGCAGGGGACCTGACAATACTGGTCAGCAGTGTTGGTCCCAGCAGGAATCTTGTGTCCTTGCACATTTTAGGGATGCCTCCAGCATGAAACTCTGCAACAACTCAAATTCATCCCTTTTCCTACCTGTCCAGCTCTGAGGATGGCAGCCTCCATCCCTAAATAAGCTGGGCAGTGATGGGAGAGCTTCTTCCAGGGCTGCATCCTGCCTGATGCCAAGAGATCTGTAGGGCAACAGGGACGAGCCCATGAGACCTGCCTTGGTTCCCATTAGCTTGGTTTGCTGTGCTGAAGTTTTTAACTTCATTACATTGTGAGAGTTTGTAAATGCTTGTCACCAGGAGCACAAAGTTACATAATGAAACCGTTTACCAGTCTGTGGCTTCAGAGCAGTTCTTTGGGGTGAGTCAATATTCCAATAAAAATACTGGGTGATACCATAAATATTGTAAATGGCTCTAGTTGGTTTCCAAGGGCTATGTCAACTGTTTATTGCATTAAAAGAGAAAAGAATAAGTGAAATCACAGGGAAGATAAAATTTAAATAAATAAAGTAAATGGGAAAATAAAGCAAAAATATTTTCTTTCATAGTTTGAAAGCTCTGGAGGAGGTTTTTGGCCAGCACGAGAGAAAACCATCATGTTTGCCAGAATAATGAACCGCAGGCTATGTGTGTGCACTTGCTTATAGGTTGTATATGTGTGTCTGTGGGGGTATCTGTGCACAGATGCTCTCATAAAATCTGTTCACAACACGAGAAAAACCTTTTGCTTTATTTGAGTGAGACATTTGCAAATTCCAGCTACAAAGATCATGAATTTACCCCATTCCCTGGGTAAGCTGCTGGGCTCCTGCTGCAGGAGGGTGCCACAGGTGGGCAGAATTGCAGGATGGATTATCTGTATCATTGAAAACTTGGGAAGGTTGTTTAAAAGTTGTCACTGAAGCAAGATAAATATTTGCCAGGCATGATCCCACCATGAAATGACATGAAAGCTGTGTGGAATGTGGTAATAAAATATAAATGTTCTGAAAAGGAAACAAATGTTGTGGGTGAGAAAACAAAGACAAAATGGACTTGCGGCACCCGCAAAAGCAACAATTGAAAACATTTACATGGACTGGGCTGAATTCTCTTGTATTTTCTGAGGAACATAGTTGAAGCATGCACAGATCACCCAGTAAGGCAGTGGGTTTTCAGGGTGCCAGAAAAACCCAAATATTGCTCCAATGAGGTTTATGAGGATGATGAGGTTTATCCATCTCGTAATAAGATGGCAATGGGGGACTTGGCTGCTCAAGGAAGGGGAACTCACGGCATGAGTGGCCCATGGCAGACCTGGGGTAGAAGCTTTGGTGGTGCCCACCGTGGGGACCCGAGGTCACACCGTGCCCTGCTGCAGGCTGCTGATCCCTGCACTTACGGGAAAATCCCTTCTCCTTCCCACCCAAAACTGGGAAGCTGCAGTG